TGGATATCTATCTATATATACCGACCGTCGTACGGGAGTCGTACAGGTATCTTGCAAAAAAGACACGGTTGTATCTCCCGGAAACACCTACTCTGTACGGCGGTCAACGCTAAGGGAACCGAGAGTGGAACCCGATTTCCTCCAGGTCAACTACTCACATTCCGAGGTCGCACTAGTAACATGCAATTAACTCTGCCAATACTGCATATCAGGCTTCCTTTCTAGAGATCTTAGTCAGTGGACCAGGCTAGAATGGTCCTGTCCACATCGAATGCTGAAAAATGCCCCCTGTCTGGACCTTCCCGACCGGCGGGCTTACCGATACAAATCAATTTACTTGCGGGGCGCGAGTTTTGCCCTTTTTGGGCAATAGAATGCGCCCCACGACCTCAAGTTCCCCATTGGCTCATATCCAACGTTATATCCCCAGTGAACAAAATTCAAATCGGTTATTAAATACGGTTCTTCAAGAAGTAGATAGACATAAATATGCCCTCAGGTCCACAGACCTAGGCACCGAAATTTCATGACTTGTACTCCATACCTGAAGGTAAATTGGACATAGGCGCATAGTCGAATTGAACGATCTATGAAACACACACTAACGGACTACGGAGCGCTCCGCCTTGCGGAAATTATTCCGTCCCGATACTGCGCACTAATGGAGATCATGAATACCAGAGCTTTAACGGTCAATGATCGACTTTTCGATAATTCCCCAGGTTCATAGTAGGCCCTGTACACCTGCTATATGACACATACCGCTTCTATATACCGTAATAAGAATGGCTATATATAGTACAAAAGTCAACAAAAAGTTATGCTCCCATGGTCGCCAGACGTTCGGAATCCATCAGAAGGACGTGAGACAGGGGCGGCCATAGGGATATCTAACCGAGCACAATCGACAGTGGAGCCTGATGTTAGCAGTAGGTCTTTTCCGACCCTGGGCAGTTCCCCGGCGGAAGCCTCCAGCCAGCGGGAAGCTCCGCCCTCCGAAGCGGAGAACATTGAGGTCCGATTAATGTTGAATAACTGCCTGATTTCAAGCTCAATAACGTGAAAGACGAATCTATGTCCTGTCTTATTGATACTTGTTCTGGTGATAACACTACGCTCCGGCATATGACGATACTGAAGTTTGTTCGATGGCGAAATAAATAGAATTAAGGTAATTCGCCGGTAGTAGCCAAGAGGCTTTAAATCATTGAAAGACCCACTAGACAACAACTTCAACAATCAAACGAACGTCAACCATATAATGATAATCTATTGTAGCTCAACTTCGGCACCGTCTTTGATAGAGCAAAGATCAAACATCATCGAAGAGAAAAGCCCAAAACCAAATAGCAACCATCGAAGCAAGGGGTCATGTGGTTTCAGAACCCCTTGGTTATCGCCTTGTACCCTTGTTTCAAAGGTTGGAGAGCTAAAATAGAGTCATTCACATCGGGGAGGAGAGGTGCAATTGTTAAGTCGCACATAGGTTCACGTCATCCAAAACACAGTGCCAGGTGCTTCAGAACGATAAAAGACCATTTATCCACAAAGCACGTTCATACTCGAGTACTTCCCCAAGGGTATAGCTCATCAGTATAGGAACGTATCTTCCTCAGCAGGTTTTCTGCGATGAGTTCGTTGTTCGTTTTCAATAACTGCCTATCTCACAATCAACATTCCCAGTTAGACTGTGAACTACTTCGATTATTTTGCATCATCTGTGAAGGAGAGCTATCTCTTACATTCCTTTGCCGACCCGGCGAATATGAAACAGCTCATGTGGTAACGTGCAGAAAGTGACGGGACCCTGGCTTTGCTCAAGATCGAGAACAATATGAAAGTATTTCTGAGGCACATCGTCACTCTGAAACGGTTCTATATGAATGAAATGTCGTCCCAAGCATATCTCACTCATAGATCGTCGGGATACCACAAAGTATTTCTCAATGGCCTCTTCGAAATCATTTTGTAGGCAATCAATGAACTGGTCCACGCGGAGCTGTAAAATGACTCGTTTCGGCTGCCTGGGTAGTTTCTGGAAGACAGCGGTTGCCATTGAGTAGTAAATGGTTTTGTACTAATGGGTCTAGCTCTGACGCTTGCCCCTTTTCTTTCTAGAAATTTGTAAGATAGCCCTAGGGTATTAAAATAGACCGTATGGTTACCAACGGGATGGGTAAGGTATGGCTTGTAATCCGTAGTTGACGGCAGTACTAGTAGTATTGGAAAGGCCGATGGGAGTTTCGAAACACACAGCCAAGGCTGTTAACCCCTCTTCTAGAACAGTGGTCGCTATCCTCTGCCAATCACGGGGACGAATGTGCAGATGCCACATGCCGTGCCGCCCAATAGATATAAGACGAGCCAGGACTGCGCATTGAAGTGTTAGGTGTCCAACAGCCGCCCAGTTCTATGGGACCAAGCTCTCTTTCTCGTTCGCTGTAGCTGCCTGGGGTTGATGTCAGGACGCATGAAGCTATTATGATCTAGGCATAAGAGGGGGTAAAGATATCAATATCGCGGCAGCTGGAGGGAAGCATACCTTGACTACTCAACAAGCCCCATATGTGAACCCTCAGAGCTGAAGGGTGTTTGTGCTGCGCAAGCTGGACAAACTCCAGATACCTCCTGATCTTGCACATCAATTGTTCGTTCGAGGGAGCGCATAGTGCCATCCGGACCAACACAAAAGTGTTGATTCGAACGAGCTTTAGCATCGCTACACTTTCCATAGTCATATCGGTACATGTGGGGACAGTCTTGATAGGTACGACAGATCTGCCAACACATGATTTTAGAAACTGTATCAGTGGTCACTATCCAGTTCAGTTCCTGGAGCTTGACGATTGTTGGTCCGGTCGGGAACTTCCAAGATTTACGCAGACTCTTGATATTTCAGGATTAAAAAAAACATGTCTGTATCTCCATGTTATTTTCGCCTAATATCTTATACGGAACACCGACCACCATGGGCTAGCATCACGATGCGGGGTGGGACACTCAGTCTATGCCACATCTTCAGGCTGCGTTAAGAGGATAACCTAACGAAACTACTACCTTCAGGCATCACCCGATTAGTTGTGTGTACCTCGAAAATGGCAAAATCTCGGCAATCACAACTTGGTGGACAACAAATACAGAATATTAGCTCGCACTAATTCCTGACAGCTTATGCATTTCATCTGATGTGTACTAAGCAAGGACAATCTTGCCTTGGACGAGAAGCCCAAAATGCCCCCTTGTAGCTCAGGGCAGTGGAGCATGTTCGCCCGATTGGTGCTCGTTTTTCCATATGGCAATAGGCCACTTCGTCAAGAGAAAACGAGTGGGGCATCTCCTCCAATCTCAACGGTCAATCCCACTATTCTGCATGCACCAGCGGCTTTCTCAGCCATAATATGGCCCGGTATTTACCTACGGCAGCCGTTATACTGAAATCCCCACAATTAAAACACTTTTCGTTGGATAATACTCAGAGCAACTTTTGGAGGGATGGAGTCCACTGAATGATGTGATAAAGGTTAGGACCGCTCCACACAGTCAAGCGAGGTTATCTCCCACGTTAATATAAATCGTTCGATATAGTGTCCTATAGGATCAAATGAGATATATAGATGTCACAAGTTCTCTGGGGCCATCGTTACGGAACGCCTGTATTGGTGACGAGTCTGGGACAATATATCCATGATATCGAAGCGCGATTCCTCACGGAAGATAACTGGAAAGATGTTTCCATGGAACGATTCCTGTCGGGCGAAATTTCTTAATGTGTTTGGTCATTGCAGTTCACATAGAATGCCTTAGGAGCATTTAGCAATAGCACCTGAACAAAGGGAGTATAGCCAAAATTAATAATTTGCATCCCTTCTTATAGTGGACCAAGTATTTCAATGAAGTCAAGATCCATGTGCATACAGGCCTTGTAACAGAACAGAGCGTTTCGTCCTAAGTTACCTCAACTAATAAGGGTATCATGCAATAGCGCCTCCGTACCTTCGCAATGTGGTCAAGGGGACGTTAATAACTAATATCTCGCTCGGTTCAGACAACTACATTATCTTGAATGTCATGTAGTTGTAAACCCCCACTTTATGATCAGTATAGCGCATTGTCGCTCGCACCAAACATCCTTTTAACTTATACATGCCATTCTCCTAGGCGGAGGACAGGGCGTTGAAGAAATTGTGGATCTACAGTGCCGGCACTGTGTCTTGAGGTATGTCAATTTTTTTTTTTTTTTTTTTTTTCAATTTCTAAATATCCTGCTATGTAGGATGCACACTTAAAATCATTGAATAAATACCATATTACCCACAGTAAATTGCCAGAATCTATGCTGCTAGTACCATTACTCAATAATTACTTTCCATGGTATATATCCTTGAAATTAATAGAATAGTACATCAGTGGTAGAACCAAGAAAAAGTATAAAAGCTAAGCCTGTTGGCAGTATGGTTCTACCATCGTATTTTAGTTTCCTGTACTTCCACTGTAATCAAATTAAGTATACATCCTGCACCGAATCTTCAAGCCTAGGACCTAGCTATTAGCCTATATCCACCTGCATGGTACGCATAATTTCGCATGCGCAATGACGGAAGAGGTCCAACCATACCCTATCGAGCCCATCATCGGCAGAAATAAGATGTACGATCTTGATATTCTTGATATTCTTGATATTCACACTTGCATCATATCTATCAGTTTCATACACAGTACAACGATATCAGTCGATCGCTTATTATCGGAGTGATCTATCAGATATAATTGGCTGGGTACGACGCCGTTGAGATCAGCCGATGATATCATAGTGAGCCAGTATCCTCGGCGTTGAAACCCGCAGGCATGCATATAAGAGCAGCCTGAAATGTTAGATTTAACTATATTTTTTCAAGTTTAGGCGATACAGATATTGACAAGTCTAGTACAGTATCCATATCGAAGTTTGTGACAAACTGCCTCCGTTTAACCACCCGCATCTCACATCCTCTTCAAACACAATGTCTTCCTCTTCTTCTTCTTCTTCTGATAAGCAGAACCGTAAGTGATTTCGCCATTCTCTTCTCTAGAAGATATCCCCTGAACCTGTGATTACACCTATCTATCTTGACCGCACCTGCTGGTCTTTACGACCTACTTACATGGCTAGTGGTGCTGACGGACGTTGTAGCCGGCCTACTTGGAGGGGTCGGCAACACCCTGGGCAAGACTGTCGGTGGGGTAACTGACACTCTGGGCACTGCCGTGGGTGGATTAGGAAAAACCGTTGGTGGAGCGACTGAGGGTCTGGGAAAAACTGTCAGTGACACCAGTGAAGGACTTGGCAATACCACCCAGAATGCTGGAGAGTCGGCGGGGAGCATATTCACCAAGACCGAACAGAAGAAGTGAGAGCATCCTTGTATCTCCTGGTCATTCGATGGGTATCTGAAGGGGAGTCTTAGACTCTGAAGGCTTTTTGTTTTTTCCTTCGGCATGTTATTACTACGTTGCTTTAATGGGGTGGTTAGCATGCTCTACTGCCGATGTATTATTAGTTTGGAGATTGGGATGGAATGATTTCATGGTTCATTTCGGCGTTCTTATTTGATTCTATCGTGGAGGTATCTCTATCGAGCCCTAAATAGTTGGGTTAAAGCTCTAGGGGCTAGGTGAAAACCTTGATGATTAATTATTCAAAGGGTTGTAATAAATGTTTCTATTCTTCTTGTGGAACTTTAGTTTGAAGTTGGACATGTATATTTGATTTTGGTAGATTTATGAGCCCCCGAAAAACAAGGCAGAATATTTGTATTTTAGCGCAAGGAAGCGGATGTATTATTTACATTATACTAGTACTAACATGGTAAATCAACAAGCGTTGGTAGGGCCAACATAAATATAATAGGAGAAAAGAGAAGAAAAGAAACTTGAAAAGGAAAAGGCCTTCTACCATATATACTGATTGCCATGATAGTTGTTCCATGTCGGATGCATTCATCTCGAAGTCTTAGTTTATCGGAGAAGCCAACTGACCATGGACTGACATGCGATGCCAAGTATAGCTTATTTAGATAAAAGAGAGTACACTCATATTCAAATATTTTAAGCTTTGTAGGCTTATTTACGAATCATTCTTGCTTCGATTTGCAACGCGTATGCCACTCTTCACTAGAATAGTAATACTGGCCACCCTCAACATATACTTATTTTGTAGGCACGTGTAAAGATGCAAATATCTAGCTGATGAGTGACATCTAATTAACTATATATTACTAAATTGTACAACCTCAGTCGGAGTATTGAGCCCTAATTTCTTTCCTTGCGCTTCAATTTGTTCTTTCTTCCCGTGTCACGATCTCACATGACAGATGGGAAGAACCAGGATCATTTAGGAAGGTCTAGACCAGAATTGGTGATCACAGGAACCTGCACAGAAAACTTCCAATACGAAAGAGCCCTTGAGCCGTGATAGCCTTGTCCGGGTCAAATCTTTGCAGGAAATTTTGCGTAACTCGGCTCTCCTTTTGTGCGCTGATTCTTTTGCTAACGGCATCTACATAAACATCTTTTCCGAGCTGTTCTTTGTGATTCCTTCCTCGGGACAGAACCTTCCACTGACACGGAGCTACAAAACTTTCCGATTGACTCTTGTACGCCCAGTTCCAACAGCAATCCAATGGGCGAGACAGACTAATGGCTTGGCCGCCTATGATCTGCTACAGAGCACGAGTCAAATCTCCGTTTCCCCGCAATTTAAATCCCCAGTCTCGTGTTAGTCTACGTTAGGGTTTCCCGGGTTCTTAAAATTTCCTTTTTCCTTCAAGTACAATTTTAATTCCTTGTTGGCGTCAAAGGCCAGAAAAATTTCAACATCCAACCAAAACGCACTCCCCTGGCGTTCTGCGATGTTCCTGGGTAGAAGCGGAAGTGGGGACTTGAGAGAGGCCCCGCCGAGCCATCCATAAATTTCTAGCGACATCGTCCCACTGGCCGTACCAGCAGAGGAACCACCGGGTGCAATCTTTGTCCACGAGTGTCCATCCCTTTTCTCTTCAAGATCCCTTTGGCTACCATTCCTGTCCCCCTTTATTCTTTTCTTTCAATTGGGGACAGCAATTGCCCAGCATGGCTTCCTTTAAGCCTCAGGATGCCATTGACCCGGCAGACGAGCACTTGCCAGAATCCCGCAACGGTCGCCAGGACTCCACGGCATCCGCGGCTAAGATTGTTCATAATGCGAAAGCCGCGACGGATAAGGAGCAGCAGATGACCCTGTTGCAAGGAATCAAACTTTACCCGAAAGCCGTCGCATGGAGTGTTTTCATCTCTACTTGTATCGTCATGGAAGGTTACGACATCAGTCTAGTCAACAATTTCTACGCCTTTGATCAGTTCAACAAGAAGTACGGCGAGCTAACGGCAGATGGGACGTATGAAGTACCGGCTCGGGTATGTGTTTTCTTAACCTCTCTTTTGTGAACCGGTAAAGCGTATGAATGTATGCTGACAGATTTTTCTAGTGGCAAGCAGGTCTGAGCAACGGTGCATATGTCGGAGAAATTATTGGGCTCTTTATCAATGGATGGGCTTCGGAACGGTTCGGGTACCGGCCTACTATGATCGCATGCCTCATCTTGATCACAGCGTGGACTGCCATCTTTTTCACTGCACCCAACGTTCAAGCATTACTCGCTGCCGAAATCCTCGCCGGCATCCCCTGGGGCGTCTTCCAAACACTCTCGGTCACATATGCATCAGAGGTTTGTCCCGTTGCTTTGCGAGGATACCTGACAACCTATGTCAACTTTTGCTGGGGTCTAGGCCAGCTGATTGGTATCGGTGTGATCATGGGAATGATCGACCGGACTGATGAATGGGCATACCGGATCCCGTACGGCCTACAATGGATGTGGCCGGGACCCCTACTCATTGGAATCTTCCTGGCACCTGAGTCGCCGTGGTGGCTTGTGCGGAAAGGCAAAACGCAGGAAGCCAAACGAGCTCTTCAACGGTTAACTAGCGCGAAGCGAGACACTGACTTCGATCCTGACGAGACCATTTCCATGATGGTTCATACCACGGCACTCGAAGCCAAGATTACGCGAGGTGCTAGCTATTTTGACTGCTTCAAGGGCACCGATCTACGGCGAACTGAGATCGTTTGCATGGTTTGGGCAATCCAGAACCTGAGCGGTAACTCCTTCTCCAACTATTCTACGTACTTCTTAAAACAGGCTGGCTTAGCCACCAATAAATCCTATGCTTTTGCCATGGGGCAATACGGTATCAATATGGTAGGTGTTTTCGGGGCATGGTTTCTCATGACTCTAGGAATCGGTCGCAGAACCCTTTACCTGTACGGACTTTGCGGTCTCTGTGTCATGCTGCTTATCATGGGCTTCCTCGGTCTGGTTCCAGACTCACACCGGGATCAATCGTCTCTCGCAACAGGCTCCATCATGCTTGTCTGGGCCTTGTTTTACCAATGCACTGTTGGAACAGTCGCATACTCCTTAGTCGCCGAACTTTCAACCCGCCGACTGCAAATCAAAACCGTGGTCCTTGGCCGCAATCTATATAACATTGTCGCCATTGTGTGCGGTGTCCTGACCCCTTATATGCTCAACCCAGAGGCCTGGAACTGGAGTAATTTCGCGGGTTTCTTCTGGGGTGGAATTTGCTTCTTGTGTGTTATTTACACCTACTTCCGCGTCCCGGAGCCCATGGGCCGCTCCTTTGCTGAACTGGACCTTCTCTTTGAACGAGGTGTTAGCGCACGCAAGTTCGCTAGCACGCAAGTGGATGTCTTCGACGAAACCATTGAAGACCACGTGGTGAAAGACTATCAAGCACAGAAGTCGGCCATAAGTGACGTGGCTCAATTGGAGAAGCAAGCCGGGTCGTCATGATACTACTAAATTATTCTCGAACATAATATGATATCTAATGCTGTACATACCCTAATCATGAATACGATTTACGTTACGATGCTATGTCCGATCTTGATTGTCATCGTTCATTGTTAGCTATAATATTGAAGCGATAAATTATCACTGTTCTTGTATTAACGTCCTAGGATTTCTTTTTTTTCAGTCAAATTATCATGAATGGCGAGACCAAGCGGGGGCTCCAACCAAGTTTACTCATTCGACCACTCAGGTTTCTTCTTCTCGGCAAAAGCCGTCATGCCTAATGCTGTCAGCAATGTGTTACAGTAAAGAAACACCAGGCAACTCACCGATCTTCTGGTCTTTACTGCCGAAAAGTGCATGGAACAAACGCCTCTCATACTCTACGCCCTCTCTCAACGAGAGTTCTTGACTCTTGTTCACAACCTCCTTGCCAGCAACGACGGCAACACGACTATAACCTGCAATCGTCTCGGCAGTCTTGAGGGCCTCCTCGAGCAACTCATCCTTGCCTCCTTCAACGACCTTCGCAGCAACACCCCATTCTCCCGCTTCCTTGCCGCTGAAATTCTTTCCAGTCAGAATCAGTTCCATGGCCTTGCTCTTTCCTACTGCACGAGTCAGGCGCTGCGACCCGCCAGCACCGGGGATAACACCTAATTTGATTTCCGGTTGGCCGAAGGTGGCATTCGAGGTACAGTAGATGATGTCGCACATGAGGGCGAGCTCGCAGCCACCACCAAGGGCATAGCCAGACACTGCGGCAATAACAGGTTTACGGATATTGTTGGCAAGGTGGGACCAAGGGGCGATGAAGTTGTTGCTGTAGGCAGCTGAGAAGGTCAAGGGCGCCATTTCCTTGATATCGGCACCAGCTTTGATCACCAATCAGTCTAATCTTGCATTGCCAAATCTAGGACTAGATAGATACCATACCAGCGAAAGCCTTCTCACTCCCTGTGATTATGATGGCCCCAATATCCTTGTCCTCATCGTATTTGGAGAGGGCATCGTTGATCTCTTTGAAGAGAGGGCTGGAAAGGGCATTGAGGGCTTTAGGGCGGTTCAATGTGACTATCATCCCAGTGAGTAACTATCATTTGCTATATTAAGTGGGATAAGAGGTCTATATATACTTAGCCCAACACCAGGCTTGGGGCTGGAGGTTAGGATGTGCTCATATCCTGATGCCGAGGAATACGGCCTAACACGAGCAAGATACGAAGACAAGGGGACGGCAGTCCGGGAAGACACCAATCGTGAGCACTGTCGGGCGAACATTGTGGCCGATATAAAATCAATGATATCAAATGGCTTGAAATCAGCTAAGATACGAAGGACGGACGTAAAAAGACACTGGAATTATTGTTACTGTCGACAAGTCCCTATATGCTATTTGTAAACGGAGCTATGACGCTCCCCGCAGCCGAAGCGAACCGTTCCTCCGAGGCAATGCGCGCACGTGAACTGCTGGTACCTCTCTTAGGTAACTTCTGAGTAAGCAAGGGCCAAATCAAGGTTAGCGTAATTGTACCGCCTCCGAGTGGCTAAATCCCGAAAGCGGTTTAGTTGACAGGCGCAGTGGACAAGTTTCCTGCGCCCGAAACAGATATCCACGCATTTCTCCAGTGTAGATTAGTTCGCGCCTCCTCTCAGCCTTCGGACCACAATCGATTGGTTTTCTTCCGGGGAATTAAATCGTGCTTGAGCAGTACGAATATCAGGGGTTTCTGAGATATTCTACATTGTCTTTTCATCCTTTTTTTCTCCCCCCACCTTTTCCTTGTTTACGCACGCCATGGATGTCCCTGAGCCCGAACAGACTCCGTTCACCGCGGTGACTGCACAGACATCGAAGCTCGCCAGAGTATGTACAATTTCCGGGCATAGATATCCTGAATCGGCGCAAGGTATCGTGAATGATCGAAGAACGTCGCTAACAGTCTCAAGAAATATCAAACCCTTCTCGATGCCTCGACGCCGTTCACTGCTTACCGCTGGATCGGCACCGTCGTCCTTCTCATTATCTTCTTCCTAAGGATCATCCTAGCTCAGGGCTGGTACATCGGTACGGACAATATTCACTTTTATCTCTTTTACAAAAAAGAAAAACCACCAATCCTAGAAAACATGCGCTAATGATATATCACCAAATAGTCGCCTACACTCTCGGCATCTACCTTCTGAACCTCTTCCTTCTCTTCCTTCAACCCAAGTTCGACCCTTCTCTCACTCAAGACGAAGGTCTCGAGGACGGCGACGCAGCTGCATCCCTCCCCACCAAGCAGGACGACGAGTTCCGTCCGTTCATCCGCCGTCTGCCGGAGTTCAAGTTCTGGGAGAGTGCCACTCGTGCCATTGCCATTGGGTTTATCTGCAGCTGGTTCTCCGTCTTTGATATCCCCGTCTTCTGGCCTGTGCTCGTTGTGTACTGGATTATTCTGTTTGTTTTGACCAGTGAGTCACCTCTTTTCCTAAAAATTTGCATGGGTGTGTTTAGCGGTGCTAATCGAGTGATTGCGTACAGTGCGCCGACAGATCCAGCATATGATTAAGTACCGCTACGTGCCTTTCTCCTTCGGCAAGACTAAGTACGGACGGTCATAAAAATGGGATTGCATAGTCCGTTTCCCCATGATGATTCTCGTGTTCGATTGGGCGGGGCACTGCAGACCTGGCTTCTGCATGTCTTTCCAGCTCGTCTCACTTTTTAATTCGTCTATTCTTGACATGATTAACGTGATCTTGACCAAGCCGAAAAGCGGATTGGAAAACAAAGGAAGAGGATCCTGATATTAATTATTGACGAATGACTGTTCATGTGGTCGCCTTCATGAACTGATGTTTTCATGTACAGAGTTATAGTCTGCTTTTTTATTCTCCTTCCTTTCCATGTTTTTAAAACACTTATTATATATTTGTGGTTCTAGATTGTGGCTGTAGTATAATTTTGCGCCAATAGACCGAGATGCTGCATATTCCTATCTACTGTCATATATAAAAAAGTCGAGGTCTGATAAAGCCACCGTTAGCAATCATGCCTTGCAACAAGTCTATTATGGTCCAGTATACAAAATTACACCGTCTTTTATTTCGAATATCAATAGAATGCCAAAAGAAAAAAGACCAGGTACTTTAAGGAGAATCTCCACCAGCATCCAGAAAAGCTTCCGTTGATCAACACAGGCTCATCTACCTCAGTGGTCAAAAACACACTTTTAAGCGTATTCCAGTACAGGGCGTAAGTGCCAGTCACATAAAACAACCCTGAACAACTTGCAGCTAGACACGTTGTAATATGGTTATAGTCTCGGATATTTTGTACCCTTAACTTGATTTCCCATTCAGTAAGCTCGGGATAATGATATGCGAGATGTTACATGTCATGTAAACAATCCCTAATGTAACTATGACACGCATTCATATTCTATCTTGTTGCTGTAGCTAGTTCAAACCTTAAGTGAATCGCATTGCATTACTCCTAGGGCTAGGAAATATACATTTGTGCATTTCGGCAACGAAGCAAAACAGCCTATCTGGTTACAAGTCCCAATAGTCGAATGTCTGCTCTATAGGCGTCTCTGCTTATAAGGATCACTTAGATAGCCACTGGAATCTTGGGAGAATGGAGTTAGGTTTCGCGTTTGTAGAGACGCGGTAGATTTAGATCTAAAACAGCGCAGGTCTAGAGCCAACTGCCGTAGACGGCGTGCTATGGTTGTAAGACGTTCACCCTACCGCTTGATGAGGAGCTTAAAATTGGCTCGAAGAGTTCACCCATGGTCATATCTTTCATTTTGGGTGAGACAGGGGCATCAGGGCGTGGAAGTGGAAGTAAAGGTAGAAGTACTGAGCACATCCACCACCATATTTGATAAACCCCATAAAGTTTCGTTCCGTATTACCAACGTAAAAATTAGACAGCCATTATGCTACGTAACTGAAACTGTGATATCGAGCTGCTTGGTCATCTTGAAGACCGCCATCTACGATTCCCACGCCCCGTTGATTGGGCCTGTAGGGACCTGCTCTACTGCTCTCTGAGTGAGATTTGAGTCAATCGACTACCTCACTATTCAAGTCGTTAGCTCATGACCATCCTTCATTAACCGGTTAGCTTTGTTGTAACGCCAAGAGACATCCTGTCACCGGGCCAAAAGTTTTTTCAGTCCGTCCCGATGCCCAGGCTGTATGTACATTATGCAGAGATCACCCCTGCCTCCTTCCATCCTCTCTCCTGCATTAACTGTTGACCACCTGTGTTCTGTTGGCCATACAGATTGCTCATCAGGATAAATACTACTGTACAGATAAACCGTGGGAAATTTCACATTCCCACCGTTCGACAACTGCGCACAAATCGTTGACTGCGCATCTACTGGCGCATAGGCCGCAGAGGGCTTTGGCGAGGAAGCATCATCGGGGGTCCCCGAGCGCGGAGCCAGGCATCGTTGTGAGGTCCTTCGGTACGGATAACGCTGCCAATGGACATGAAGAGACTACTCGGTATCGAAAAACATTCGTTAGCAAGGTATCCTTCACCGTATGGATGATATTCGAAGAGATGAACATGAGTTTGATAAATGAACCACAACCATCGTTGTTCGAAGTTTAAACGTACCCAAAAGTCGCGCCAGAACCAAGCATGTATTTACCCAAGGTCCGCATAACACCGTTGGGTCCGGCACCGTATTGGAAGATGGTGACGGTTCCTGATGAATCGTTAGCAGGCCTGCTGAGGCTCATTGTATAGAAAGCAACTGACCGATGATGAAACCCATGATACCGCCAACAGCTGGAGAGACACCGTTAACCAACTCTTCCAATATCATGAGACTATATAGGTTATGGCTTACTTGATCCCATCATAGCACCCATCTTCACTATAAAGAAAGTCAGTCAAACCAAGTTATTCTGTTGCTTTGGAGGAATAACCTACTCTTGTCGAAAGTAGAGGGGCCGTGGGCCTGAGGAGGACCTGCAACGACGGGCATGTTGAAAATGGGGGGAGCTGAGCTGGGGATATTCTAAGGAAATAAAGATGAATCGACGAGGAACTTGCAGGCAAACTGCAGTTCTTTTCTCCTTCTTTCAGAAAGGCCTATAGAGAGGTAAAGCTCCGACGAACCACCAAAACCGGGGTTATTCCGCTAGTGACACGTGACACCGCCTTCCGCTTAGGGCAATCCTGACCGTGTCAGAGGCGAAAACCCGCTTAGATAATCCACACGTGTGGCTTTTCACGTGAGGGAAGCCTGAGGCGTTAGGGATCCGTGAGCTGACGCTCTTAACCGTTGCCCATGCGACTTGGTCCTCGATCTGTTAATATCCTTTGCATCGAGTTAACACGCTTTTGGCGGCTTACAAGCCTGTGCAAGGCGGTATTCCCGTCTCGTGCTGCTTTCTATTTTCGTTTTGGACGGCGTTACCGATCGCTGTGCGGACTAGGCCAAGACTCCACGCCTCCTTGGTCTGAAGCACCCATTGCTTTGCATCCGAACTCCACATTATTTTGATCATCAGCATTTGTACTACGGAGGTAAGCCTCTCCTGTCTCCTGTACCCCTGTGGTCTGGACCCTTTTTATTTTTTTGGGTGTCGTTCCCAACCCCTTCACATGGAACCGGAATTGCCGTTATTTTGACGACTGCGGCTTAATACTAACGTGACCCTCGATAACAGTTGGTTGGAATACGGAATACGGGTTTTTGGCGCACCACACATCCTTTACCTGCGGTCTGGCTTTAGAAACTGTCGCGAAAGAGAATTTTCAGTGAATTTCCGACGATTGGTTTTCGAGTTGTACATTTAGACGGTTGATTGTTTGCTGTTTTCCTTTTATTCACCCAGCGCCTATGAGGTAAGGTAGCCCTGGAAGAACAGTCTCACCTACGGACTATCGCCGGCATCCTTCTCCATGACTGCTGTGGCATCACCACCTAGTGTGCAATCGGGGCCTCGCTTGGGATGGTACGAATCTGGTAACGGAGGACAAGGAGCTCTGTCTTCAATGAACGGGGACGAAGTTTCACGCATGTTTATGCCACGGAAGACCATTCAACGATCGAATTCATCCTCTTCTCTGGGATCTACTTCATCCACGTCAACTGTGACATCAACTCCGCAGAATACTAATGCCGATCAAAGCCACAACCCTGAATCAGCCACTTGGTCGTCTAAAAAGAAACCTTCGCGCAGTCTGTGGCCTAGCTCTAAGTCAGAACCAGTGTCTGGCGTGAGCAACGCACGTTCTCAAGCAATGCCCGCATTTTCCTCCGGTCCCACTGCCTCATCGGCTATGTCCGCCATCCATCACCAGCCTTCTTCCATTGTTCCATCCCAACATATGCTCCAACCCCAACAAAATGGCGTCCGCGCAGGAAGCGCGCCTTCTGGAGATCCGCCTGCGATTTTGACGCTAGTGCCGCTCAACGGTACATTTGAAAAGAAACAGATCAATGTGCCTTACTTCCCGGAAGTGGTCCGAATTGGCCGGCAAACGAACGCAAAGACGGTGCCTACACCAGCGAATGGATTTTTTGATTCCAAGGTGCTTAGTCGGCAACATGCCGAAGTTTGGGCCGAAAAGGGCGGGAGAATTTTCATTCGTGATGTGAAATCGTCAAATGGCACGTTTGTTAACGGAACACGGTTGTCTCCGGAAAACCGCGAGTCAGAGCCGCATGAGCTCCGTGAAAATGACCAGCTGGAACTGGGAATCGATATCATCAGCGAAGATCAGACGACAGTTGTACATCACAAGGTCTGTTGCAAAGTGGAATATGCTGGGGTGTATGGCACCATGCCGAATATTCTCGATCTCACACTTGGAGATTTGGACCCTGCATCTGGAGGTGGTCTTCTACCTTCCCCTCTTAGCCAGCCTCTATCCCATATGCGGGGGCGATCCGGGAGCTCACTGAGCAACCGGAGTATACAGAGCACAGCCAGCAGTCAGTTCAATGCGCTCCAGCAACAGCGGCAAATGAATTACTGGAATTCCCCTATATCTATTGAACAAGTTGTTAAAAGACTTACGGTATGTGCTATGATGTCCGGTTTCCATTTCGATTGCCTCCTAACCCCCTATAGAGCGAAATGAAACAGGCCAAACAGCAGTCACAAGACCTACGCCAAACGGACGAATTCCTGACCAATCTTACGAAGTCAGGCCACTCTGAGAAAGAACGAGTTAAGAGCTCGCCTGCGGACAGCACTTCGTCCCGTCAAGTCAATGGCAGGCCAAAGATGCCCCGGCTTGATTCTTTCTCTCGTTTTTCTGACCCTCCGGCCCCGCCTCCACAGCAACCTCTGCCTGAAAAGCCCGATGCCTTGCCACGCAATGGCGCTGACGCTACTTCTCCTCTTAAGCGATCAGATACAGAGAAACCGAAGATTGGAGCTACAAGCTCACCCGTCTCTCGTGAATCAAGTCAAATACTATCGCTGATTGAAGCTCTGTCGTCAGCTAAAAGAGAGCTCGACAGCCAGGGTGCTCGTGTGAAAGAGCTAGAGAGCCTTTTACTTGAAGAACGGACCGCGCGGAAAACTGCAGAAGAAAAGGCCAGAAGTCTCGAGATGAGAGCTAAGGATGACGAAATTGTCGCAAACCACACTATCTCTGATTCTCATACCGTCGGTAACCAAGAGGCTTCTTCAGAACAGTCAAATCCTAAAGAGACGCTGGTAAATGGTGTGTCGCCTGAACCTAGCTTGGACCAATCTACCCGAGAGGAGAAACCGGCGACCACAAACAATAATGATTTGCAGCAGCGCTTAGAGGCAATGATGGAAGAGATGGAAGAAATGAGGAAGCAAATCACGGTGTTTAGGGACCGCGCTGAGAAGGCAGAGTGTGAGACGGCTGAGACCAGAAAGTCGCTAGCAGAGATGATAGAGACTCTAAGACGAGAGCGTGAAGAGCGCTCTGAGAAAAGCAACGAGCCAATAACTCAGACACAGGATGCCGCCGACCACTCCAGTCCTTCTAGCGCAGATGAGGCGAAAAATCACCCTGTTGCAGATAGCGGGACGGGACCAGAGTGCGCTGGAACATCGCCCCTATTTAAGGAGGCTAAAAGCCCCGATACGACGTTTGCAACGCAGCCCCGCAAACATGATGTCTTGCAGCACTCTAGCCCATACGCGTCGATGCTTGGGGTCGTTCTTCTGGGTGTAGGGCTAATGGCCTATCTGAATGGATGGCAGAAAATGGACAAATGATTGTCCTTGTATTTGTTACAAAGCAAAGGCCCAAACGTTGCTCTACAAAAGAACTTCCAGAGCTCGACCCTTTGATCCTTCACACTCGTTGGACCGTTCGTTTGATTTCATTTTCTTTCCCACTTCACTTCGATTTTCGCATTTGATATCATTGTGTTTTCATGTATTCTGCAGATGCTCAAAAGGAGTATTCGCTCAGCTTGGTGTAATCTTTATATTTTCTCTTCCCATTTTCGCTTTCATCGACAGTTATCAGATTGCATAACTTGCATGACCCTCCCTTGTCATCTGCTGTTCATTCTCATATATCTTTCCTGCACTGCATTGTTGTTCCAGTTACGATCTTCTGGCAACAGCAGGTTCCTTTTTTTTTTCCCTTCTTCTTTTCTTCCCTTTTGATTTTCACTCTACGTTAATGTTTCCTTCTTCATGGGCAGAAGCAAGTCATGTAAGGCTCACCCGCCTTTGTGTATTAGTCTATCATAGTAGCATCACTTCCCTTGGCAGTTCCAGTGTTAAGCAAAGCGACGAATGATTATCGATATGTTTCCCCATCTTCCCCTCACTCCAGCCTTCGAGGTATCATCTATCAATTTCCTATTCTCGCTCACCTGAGTTCAGCCGTATTTTCATTCGAACAGTGCGTGGTTCAGGGAACCAATTTCTTTTGAATTGATAAGATCGAGCGAAGGCAACTCTAGAAGCGTTGATATGCAAGATATCACCCCCCTTGGCTCTCCATCCAAGTTGTATATATTTGATGTAGCTGTGTGCACTAAAGTACTCTGAGATGAATTATCTCAGGGTATTGCGTCTAGCTTTCAGTTTTAGCGTGAGCATGCGAAAAGTCATGATATTAGTTTTGAGATTGCTATGGAGTTACTCTAGATCATCCACGTTCTGCGACACGTTCTGTGCTCTTGAATCGCTAGATTTCCTAGTTTCTTTAAATCCGATCAGTCGGCAAGTGGCACATCTCAACACGCAACTGTTCATGTGCATCGAATATGTCCCTAACGTAATAATAGGGACAAAAGCCCGTAGACGCGAATGTCTTCACGCTTGGTGGATCTACCTTCACTTTCCCTTGGGACCCTTGAAGACTTCTGCTGTAAGAGATCTAGGCAGATTGTTGCCTATTGTGATGCCTGGCAGTGTATATACAACACTGCGGTCGTCACCTTAATAAAACTCGAGAATCAAGTGGGATAGTAGCAAAATAGCTGCACCACGACGGATGATATCTTAAGCCGGCTCTCGCGTTTGGCGTAAAAAGGAGGCATGTTCTCCACGCACAGTCCGAACCATAACATCGCATGAGCACTTTGGGTAAACGACCTGCGTTATCCCCAGCAACTGCTCTCCCTCATCTCGATTCTAGGTCGACCATCAAGTCCAAAATTTCTTCCCAGAACCCATGCACACCCTTCATTTAAAGGCAATAGAAACTTCCACCTTATTCACCCACCGCGTCCTCGTCTCAGGCAACTCCTCTTCCTCAGCAACCGCTAAAGCGTTAGCAGCCCGCCTCTGCTTCTTCGCCGCAGACTCCGAACCCTGCAAAGCATCACCCTTCACCTTTTCCTCCAACTTCCTCTTCCTCTCCTCATCCTCTACAACATCATCAACAACAAGTACACTCCCCGTCTCAACACGCACCGCATACTCGCTCTCCCTCTCCTCGAACCATTTCCCCACACGCAGCGCCTTCTCAATCGCCCGCCCCGTCGCCTTAACAAACACCTCCTCTTTCTTCAACGATTCATTCCCGCGCGCAATCTGCGCCAGTCTCTCCCGGTCCCGCTTCTTGGTGCTTGATAGGTTCACGGACGCGGTCGCGCGTTTCTCAGCCTGTCGGAGGAACTTCTGTACGCGTTTCACGGCGCTCATGAAGGGCGTGTTGGTTGACATGTAGACGATCTTGGGGACGCTGGAGCCGGCGTATGGGGATGCTATTGGGGCGTGGGGGATAGGGCGTTTTTGAATTCCGGCATCTGTGGTTTAGGATGTTAGTTTTGGGTTGGTTTTGTGTTGGTCTACTGTTTTTTACTACTGATTTTCTGAAGGGGATTGGGAGTGACGGACGTTTGGGGAGCTTTAGCATGTCTTTATTCTTTTTTTCGAAGGTGAGGGCGTTTCTTAGTGGTTCCTTGGTGGGCATTTTGAGGGGGTTTTGTTGATTTATTGATTGAGGGTTTCGAGGTAGAGTATCCTGAGCGGGGGATAGAGGTGGAGACAGAAGATTGAAGATATATTGTATGCTAAGAGGTTTTATCGTAGGATTGTTGGTTATCGCAAATTGTTCGTTGGAGTTTAGATAGATAGGAATTGGTTTGCGATAAAACTAGTCCGAGATTGGAAGTGTTTGTTTGGTTTGCAGGTTCTTCCTTTGAAGTGAAGTATAAGTGAGGTCATTAGTTAGGGCTTGCTTCTTATTCAGAATAATCCTATTGAAAGTAATATTTTGAATGTTGCATGGAGCAGGAAGTGGAACTGAATGATCGCCGGCGGATTTGATACGAGAATCATGAAGGTTCTGACTTAATACTGCGATTTCATTTCCTTTTTGAGGGCTTTTGTAGCCCCTCCTAATTTTATCCTTGTTTTTCTACATCTGTCGGAAAAGCTTCCCATTATTTTGGAAAAGATTTCTATTCATGAAATGTAACCTATTGCACGTTCATCGTGACAATGCATTATGGAAATGTACATGCGAACCCAATTCATTAATCATAACCGTCGTACCAAGTTGAGCGTCTCAGTGATATCATATGTCTGTATGGTAACAGATCTAAATGTTCCATCCCGGATGGAAGAAGTAAGATGATGTGATTGTCCCTGCAATCGAAGAAAGAATAAATAAGGGTAGTCGATGATAATGATGCATGATAAAATAATCTTGACGTGAGAGCATCAACTCGCGGCCTCCTGCCACAGAGACTGCTCCCCAGGCAAAGATTTCCGGCTGAAGAGTAATTTGACTCTGCACTGCAGATTACCGGTCATGTTGCTCTTCCGGGGCGAGGCATGTGCTGGTACCCGGATCAGATCGTTCTCGGGCTTGATAAATGCAGTGACATGTCGGCGTTGGGTTATGGCTTTGATGGCTTGCGTAATTTGGGATCGGATAGGAGGATGAGGAGGAACAGTGGATTTAGGCTTTGTTGCGTTGCTCGGAATAGTAGGAGCTTTGCTATTGTTTACACCATTAGGGGCTTGCATAGGCTGGCTTGCAGCTTCTTGAGCGGCTTGCACGCACTTGCGGTAGACACCGTGGTGGCCCAGACAGCGACGGAGATCGGGGGTACGAGAGAGAGATTCTTTCTGTAGCTTTCCTTGTGAAATCGCAGCCAGAGACGATCGGCCAGGTATGCTGACGCGCGAAGCTTGCCGGAAGAAATTAGCAGATTGTTTAAGTTCTGCTGCTGCTATTGCCATAGTCTGGAGGATGGTGATTCTAGCTGACTTGTTTCACATAGGTGGTGGTTTTTTTTTTTTTTTATTTTTTAGCTCAGCGGAGTGTCAGGTTCTTTAAATGCATGGGCATCCAGTGTCCATGATTCAAAGTTAATTGACCTGTACGCTGTTACCCAGACAGGCAATACCTGAATGCTGGGTCGGACATGCCCGTCATCTTAGACTTTAGAAAAGAGATGGTTCAGTGAGCTTCAAAACCATGGTTTAGATGCTAGTTCGTCACCTGTAATTCGCGGAATCATTAACCGCCACCTCTCTGAAACCAACAATGGCCAACCACAGGTTGCGGTGCTCATGTCAGCAATGATGTTCGCTGATATGCCATTCTTGTTGGCTGGGTTCATTCGGTGCAGTTCATGTACAGTTGCATTCCGCCTATCAGCGTCGAATGTGGCGACGGGCTGGCCTCTCTGATAACATTGAAGTGATCGAGGCCGTCTCAGACACAACACGTCATGTTGGGAAGGTAGCGCTAAACCCGCCAAAGCTCGTCAGTGTCATACTTCTCTGTATATAAACAAAAAGTTTTTTTGGGCACGTTATCTATATGTCCGGGAAGACCTTGAGCCACGCGTCTGGTTCCTGGATGTACCATAGTAGCGACCAGGTCCCTTAAACCTACCTACTGAGCACCATATACTCCCCTATATGCTTACCGTACTTCCCCGCATGAATAATGTAAACCATAGCGACGAACCACACGAGCATTGCTCACGGATGGCGTATGAGCGGTACAACTAGGTGGATGTTTGATCACCGAATCATTGGCTATGCTGGGGCATTTCTATGACGCCACTAAAAGACTATCATCGGTTTCTGTGGAGATCAAGCACGTCAAGATCGCGGTGTCTTGCCATCTTTGCAAGATATGTGGCCTGTGCATCGGCTGCTCTCCGACTCATTCGGTGATAGAGAGCAGCGCGTGGGACTGATTATCATGCCATGTTCTCATGATTGTCACAGCTGGCGTAATCAATAGATATGATCGAACCCAGATCGCTATGTGTACGCGACAACGATAGTCTGATCGATCGCCCCTCTTTTATCGGCGATGGAGAAGGGGTGAGTTCCCCAGTAGTGAGATGTTTGGTTTTAAAGGTGGATGTTGGACTATAGCACTGCTTTTGACCAATTGAATCAATGGCTTGCATCGCTGTATACTAAGGAGGACCTATTTCCCCCGTAAGCTCCTTGGTACCTATATTACTGCATTGCTCTAGATGAAAGACTCTGAGGCTTTGGGGAACATTTCACTAGAGAACTTCAGTGTCCATAAGCGCTTTGGGGCTTTGCTAGTATACCGAAATCCTCCAACAACCTCAAAAGGTTGGATATTGTTAGATTGGTGCACAGATCTCATCTATGGCACTTGGCCTCTGCAGTAAATACAGTACGAACGGATTTAATATCCAATCATTCTGGCATGATAGACCAAATACGTACATTAGTGTATGTTGAGATATGAGATACGAGGTCTCTTACATCACTGTGACCATCCTCTCATATTCTGAGGATCTGCCTACAACAGCTAGTTTATTATATTAATCAAAATTGACTCCTGAATATCTCTCCGAATCCAAGCCATAGATATTTGGCTTCAAAATTCATTCGATTTCGCAACAACATTATAACTTCCCACTTTACATCTACCCACAATGTCTGGTCCCCTTAGCTAGCCCGCCTCATGCATCTCTCGCCCAACTCACTCGTTCACCAAAGCCATATACATCGAGTGCTTGTTCTTATTTATTATGGACACCAAAACGCTTATCGATCTCGTCCACGAGGTACAGGGCCAGCTTTGGGTTGACACGATGAACGACACCCACGGAACCGCTCGTCTTTGCTAGTAGATATCGAATTTCTATTCTAATAAGCTTCCCTGTTAACTTGTTGGTATCTTTAACTATAGTACCTTTAATGCTAGTATAGGATAGTCTTCAGTGATAGGGTTACTATTCCTGTCAAGTCTTGGTATTAACCCACCTACATAGTCTTGGTTTATTCATTATAATCGACTTGAAAAATGGTATAAGTCTCAGTAAGTAATCTTCTCGGCTGTTTCTAATACATAGTATAGTTGTAGACTTATAGTACACAAAAGCCGAGACCTCCACAACGATCTCCTACCTTCCCCCAAAGATGTGGTGGTATCTTAACAGTCGTGTCGGCATGTTCATCCACTCCCCCGTAATCCCACCAGTCGACTGCACCACCCTCTTGAACCGATAACGCCATGTATCTCCTACTTCCCAACCATAAATATCTTCTAGAATTGTCCATGATGAGCGCCGGCATTCTCCTGGCTTCAGAGCAACAAACCCCTCATCCTCGCCACATTTACCGTGACATCAGGATCATCTAGGAAAAGCCCGGGGTATCCACATGGACCCGCCTGAAGCTCCCACAAACCATCCTCGAGACGATAGGAGCGAAACAGGACCCAGATTACATGGTAACGGAATGTTATTGGCCAGTCTGTGGGGCCCCTATGGTAGCGAACATGCAATGGTGTAGAGTGTTTTCCCGCGGGGACAATCTATCTGCTCATATGTAAACGTGACACTTGCGCCTCCTCGTATTATTAAATCCGGCTGTACCGGATTAGCCGCCAGATGGGATCCCACATAGTCACTTGGGATTCCCCAGTCCCACAGTCGAATCTTCGCCCCGGGTCAGATAAGCTCGTACGTTTCGCTGGGCTCTAGCTGCTCCCTGTAGCTGTGTGGGGGACTATGACAGTAGATGATAGAACCACCTGGCTTTAGCTCTTGAACATCAAATGAGAGCTCCACGTGCACGGTGTCTGGCGGGCCCTGATTTGCATCTGGTACAGGTACCCTTTCCAGCTTGCTGTCTGAGGTGTGTGCCGTAGAAGGACGAATCTATCTTGACTGTAGCCCTCATTCAGGGGAGACCATGCGAAGACAAAGGGCCTGGGGTCATCGTCCTGCGGTGATTGACGGAGGGTATACTGTAAGAGAGGGCTGAGTTCGGTCTCGAGCTGCAGACATGGTGCCTTAGGACTTGAACCTGATAGTAAGCGTCTATTCTCGACGGACAGTCCGGTTCGGATGCCAAGGTGGGGGGGGCCCGGGAATAGAGAGTCAGAGAGTGAACTCGATACATACTGTCTATCATTGAGTGGGAATTTGATATAAGAGGCAATTTATTGGTCCATTTTCCGGTATTCCACCGATTGTAAACTGAACGAAGAGGATGGGACAAGCTTTCAGTAGCACACCATCAATACAACAGCTTCACTACAAGCTAATCGTTAGTAAACCACGGACATATATCGGATTGGGAAAGTTAGGGGTATTTAGTAATACTGCCTTGGACTACGGGCGCCACAGTGAAATGGTTAATTCCTCCATACATCAAGAAGAAATGCCTCGTGGGGACTAGGAGGATTACCCGACGCCCGGGAGCACTACAACTTAGTGCTTACAGAGGAACTCGCTGGGACTCCTAAAAGCCACGACTTGGTTAGTGAAGGTCACAGTGCCAGCCCGAGCTACCCTTCCGATCCTGATCCTGTTGTATGTACCTATGTCTTGTCTATCTACCTGTATACAGCTTCACCCGTAGCTTGCCTTCCTGAAGTTTGAGCCCACACTCGGACATAAACTTTGTTGTAGAAATTTACTATTTAACATAGAATCATTAGTGACATATCTGATATCGATTGTCGACTTCCTCATCATATCGGATCTATAATTCTCCCTTCCTAATGATACATTCGCCAACACCAGTGAAGTCCCAAAACCAGCTAATCAGCCAAGGTATACGCTCATGGCAAAGATAATACACACACATAAATCTTCTACATCTTACCCAAGTCTAATCAAGATGGACCCAAAGAGAAGGAGAAAACGAAGAAAGGGTACCATCGTTAAACAAAGGGGAAAACTGAGTGCCCACCTTGATAGAAGCAGGGTTGACTACGGGAGCATCAGCTGCTGGTGCCTTGTGGCCATGTTCCCCTGCTCCTTGGCAGTCCCAAATCACTCATGGACCACGAATCGTCACTATCGTTCGCCAGCCTGGGCTGCATCTCAGGACCTAGCCTGTTCAAATGCAGGGGTGTTGCTTTGGAGATAGCGTCACCCAGACCGTGTCCATCAGGGGTGAAGTAGGTCGAGCCATGAGGCACACCTCGAGCAGAAGGTAATGCTTTCGGGGTGGGCTCCTGGAGGTCATCCAACTCCTGCTGCGGTGGCATTTCGTAACTTCCCAGAAGATATTGCGGATCAGATTCAGCCCTTTTACGCATTGCTTCCAATTCCCGGTGGATCTTTTGAGCGCTTTTTCGCTTGCCCGGTTCAATGCGGATCATTCCAAACATGATCAAATCCAGCAAGTCAGAAAACACGGGGGAGCACCGCGGTTCTGTTGTCAATTTCGCCACCCAGTATTCTACAGATGGACGAACTTCCTCGTGATCTATGCTGTAGAAGCAATCTGTATTGAACTCGGTGCGGGGGTCATCGTATCCCCGGAGCTGGGAGAACTCCTCGATAGCCTTCTCACCGCATATGATGTAGGTAACGAACTCCAATAACAGACACCCAAGACTCCAGATGTCGAAGGCCCGGGTTATGCGCTCCCCAGGATGGCGAGGAGGTGAGTAGGTCAGAGGAAAGACTGCATCTATGTCGTTGGACCTAGACTCAAATCGGTGAAGTTTCGCTAGCCCTAAGTCCGCAATCAAGAGTATGCCGTTTGGATCTGTGCACCCAGGACGCTTCTTAAACCATAGAATGTTTGCGGGTCTCAGGTCACCATGTCGTCCATAAAGCGTCTTACTAGTTGGCTTCCCTGCTCGGGATAGCTTATGTATCACAGATAATCCACCCACGATTCCGACCACCTGCTTGAGACACCATAGGAGGTTCTGGCTGTTCCATTCGGGTAGCCCAGTCCGCTTCCAGTATTCTCGTAAGTTCTCGTCTGCATAAGGGAACACCAGATGATTGTCTTCCTTGAAGCTATAGGTGCATAGAAGATTAATCAGGTGTGGATGGGGGCCCAGAGTCTTGAGGAAATACGTCTCTCTTTCAAACAAATGTCGTTCTCTCGAGAGGAGTGTCTTGATTGCAACTCTACACCCTTGGCTCTACTTTAGGTTAGCAACCAAGACGCACTGTCGCCCAGATATCTGCCTCGCTATCGCTCACCTTACTGTCAGGGTATTCCCAGAATTTGTGGTGGTCGGCGTGGATGCGTTCACAGGAGACTCTTCCAAATCCACCTTCAGCAGACTTTGAAGACTCTTTCCCAACAAAAGGAAAGATTTGCTGCTCTGGAAAATCGTAATGGGCACCTTGGTGAAAGACCGGGATGAGAACACGCCACTGTTTTGCTTCCAATGTTTCTAGGTCGTAATAGTCCCATTCTTCCGGTACCGGGACCTCCTGGCCTTGGCTGGTTCGCAAGCCGTTCTCGTCCAGTTTGAATGGGAGATTGTCATCTTGTATCCCCCTGTCTAGGAAGGTATTTATATAATCCACCTTTCTTGACATGAGCAGAACGATGAATAGCTTTTGGGCGCTTTGGACGATCTTCTTCGCCAACTTGGCTCTTCGGGATCTACTACCGATTCTTTTCTCAGCTAGTATGTCTTGCACAGCTTTCTCGTTGATCTTCGCATCGACAAAACTTCGCGGAATAAACGTAAGTTTGAATGTGCATTCTCGTATCCGATCCGACGTTGAAGTCAAACATGGAAACGAGTCTTGACTGGAGCGGGACCCTTCGCGGGACATGGGTGGACTCATGACCGGGGGGAATTGTTTGGGAGAGTCGGGTTGGGGACGAGGACCATCCTTGATACGTCGCAAATTCCATGAAAGAAGCAAGAACAAACACGCCAATGGGAAAAGCAAGTAACAAGGCGTGTACATAATGGGTGTCGCACAAGCTGAACTGCTTGTCGGAGTGTAACGTCAGTGAGGTCTGCTTGAATGAATGACGGGCGCGGAAAGCGAATAGGAATATAATATGGGTGATTAGAGGGAAGAAGTATATAGCATAGGAAGAGAAAGAAAGATATAAAGAATATCAAGACCGACCAAGACGAACGGAAGGCAATTTTAGCGCCTCCGTTTGGTTGGGAGAGGACAAAACGTCCGGTAGAACTGGAGTAGGGCGGAGAGGGAGAAGGTGGTAGAAGAGACGAAGTACTCGAGGAAATAGTGCAAAGGACTCAACCCACTCAGTAAAAGGTAGGGCGGGGGTGCTACCGCCTGGTTGCCTATTTATTTCCCATGAAAATACTACTACAATACTAGTAGTATTGCTACTAGTGGTATGTAATAGTCAAATAGTGGTTGGTGATGACGGTCAAAGAGGAGGGAGCAGATACTCCATCTTATTCTAATACATTTATTCGAATCCTCGATCGACGTGGAGTTGCCTTCGTCGGGTTTGGGGACAGACCAACGATGGTTGTCCTCGAGCAGTGGGAGTTTGCCATTGGCGGGCTTGACAGTAGTGTTCGACTAGTAGGGATAGATTGTCGAATAAAGAATGGCATTATCGGGCAACGAGGCAGTGATGCTGAAGTCTTGTCCATTCGGACCATCCCATCCCTGCTCCCCCCGGCTGCGCGTCACTTTCCTCTTGGCTTTTCATGTTGCTTCCTCTGTCTTTGCCTTCTCCTTTTGCCCTCTCAACCCTCCCAGAACATTGAATGAGGGACATTTGGGCCTTCTTCTCCTCCATAATATCTACATAGCACTGTACTAGTAGTACGCTGTCCAATCCATTCTACCTACGGTAAACTAATGAAGACTGCGGGTACTTGTCACTCCATTCACCCTTTTCAAGGCAAAATCTTGGTTACATAATAACGGGCAAAGGGTTAAAATTGCTAGTTTAATCAGCCTTTGTGGTGGCAGTGGCATAGGTGGACGGGCGCGTTAGGCTGAATAAGGGCATCGCACCCTGATTCACCTCAAACTCCGTCCGAGCTCGCAACATACCCCGTTCCAAGTCTGTCTCTTCTCCCTCCCTGGGCGATACAGGCTGATGATGAATCCTAGTCACCTTCAGGAACCAAGACGAGTCACTATATCGCACAGAAAGTATCCACAGAAAGACCGTAGCTACTGTTAAGGGAACTGAAATGACAGCCAAAATCCAAACCCAAGGTGAGATGTATATACCTCCCTGTTCATTAATCTTAACGAACTCAGTGGAAAAGAAATTCTATCTCAAGGAGTCAGCAAATCTTTCCTTTGTTACCCATTCCAAGGCCAGCCAATGGAACGCACCGCTACAATGGTGGTGGGGAGGTAAACCAGACCAACAAGACTCAGCATCTTCACAGCCGCAGCGTCTTCTGCACTCCGTTTCTATCGGGCGCCCTCATCAGCAGTATGTCCGTCATAGCCACGTAGGAAAATAACGCACTGCAAGCTCGGCGAGGTGGTGGCTTTCCTCCTGAGAAGTCTGGGCCAGTTCTTTCAAAGCTTTTGTCTCCACATGTGATGCCCGTGCCAATTGTTTCAGGGCTCGAGTCTCCTCAAAGCTCAGTAGATCAGTTAACTGCCCGTCCACGGCCTGTTAGCAGTAGTGGTGCGGGCTGGGGTGGTGGCGGCTGCCTACCAGTTGCTCTGTCGACTGAACCCGCTCCTGTAACACATTTGCCCGTTCGAGGTAAGTGCGGGCTTCTGCTTCACATTCAACAAATTCTCCGATCATGGAACTACAGAAACAATCATCTCTGACAGTGCAGCTCATTTGGCAGTGTCGTTGGCAGCTCTTCCCAATGCGGCCGATAGTGTCTACAGCAGTTCGAAGGATGACAATCAAATCCGTTATGTAATCTCCCAGTTGCTTAAGGCGTTGTCTGTCTTCCACCTTGAAGTATGTCATGTGTTTATCTCGGTCTTCGACATCCCAGACAATCAGTCGGTCGGCCTAAAGAGCACCTAGTTTAGCCCATGTAAACCGAGGCGGAAAGCACATGCACTTAAGTGCATATACACTGGTAAGAATAAGAAGACCAAAGATAGCGAATGAACAGACCTTTTGCTTACATTCGGACTCTAACCAAGCCATGTAATCCGTCCAGCTTCTCAGGCCATCAGCCATGAGTCTCTCGTGAACAGAGAAGTGCGGCGTCATGACCTCCCCCGCAGATGAGCTTCCTGGAAAGCACTGAGAGACCTCATTCTCAACAGTACGGGAGGGGGCAATCAGAATAAAAACCGACGAGCTTGGTGAGCCATCGTGCGGATATGTCAATTTGTGGTAAACTCCTGTCTGGCGAATTGACCAGGGACACTCCCCTTTAGACGTCGGGCGTTGGTTACGTTCGACTCGTCGGATCACATAGGTAATCTCTATGCTACCAGTTAACCTATAGGGTATTCTCTGCATTGAAGACGAGAGGGCTTTCGGGATCTAACCATCAACCTTGTCATCTACCCTCTGCGAGCTTTTAGCACGAAACGGAGGAAATGCATATTCGTTCTCCACGACTCTGATGCCAAATGTGAGAGCTGACTTCCAGAAATATGGGAAGACGCTTTGTGCGTCTAAGAGATAGTGGAAAAGTTCGCTAGAAATGTTTAATGTCGTCCACGATCGCAACTGCGCGACCGTATAAACTTGTGCGCAAGCCGCGGTCTCTTCCTATGACGAGATAGATAGATAGATACGTTAGCTATAAAAATGAGGAAGGGGCCATCCACGGTGGCCGAATTACCTTCTGGAGTCGCTTCAGTTCGGAGACGTGATTGATCGGGATGGGTTGCTTGGTTTGCAATGTCCGTCTGCCGCATAAGTCCTTTGACGAAGAAAGCAGATAAACTACTAGCTGAGCAACATCATTCCTGGATTTAAAGAGACTGTTCGTCCTAGACTTGATTTTCTCCTCTAGGAATTGATCAACACGGGAAGAAGCGGAAATGGAGTCCATTGTCCGGTCCACTGAGGGGTTGAATTGTTAATCAACATCTGGAATGCCACGAGTCTGGAGATTCTTGCATTTATATATACTTCAAGAGCACAGCTTGAGGCTTTAATCTCAGTATTCACGATATCTTCTGTATGCGGCTCTAATTCAAGAGGCTGATCATTGTTACCGCAGCTCTATTGAGGCTTAACATTTAAGCCGCAGCCATAGGTCCCCCCCAAGGGATTGGGTGACAATGTTTCTACCCGGTTAGCACTTGAACTACCGGGCAAAACTGTCTTATGAGGGCAAAAGACAGCCGAGCGCGGGGCGAATGTAAAGTGACGATCCAAATGCCAACACACATGTCAGCGATCAGGGGGCTTTTCTCATGTATGTCAGTCAGCTGGAGACTCTCCAGGGCTCGCGGAATGTCTTTCTAAAAATTGAGGGTCAGCCTTGGTCGTAGCGCCTACACTAGCCAACGAGGGTGCATCATTACTTTATGAAGGCCTATAAGTGAAGTTCATGCTGGGGACTTATGCGGGCTGCCATCACAAGGTGATGTTCTGTATGCACTTAAGGAGTAATAGGTATGTCAATCAATATTAGGCCAAACTAAACCGTCGTCGCGTATGTACAACCTCCTCACCACCCCCATCCCACCCCCATCTTCCCGACTGTGCAGCGTTTTGTGCGGGTCCACGTTTGATGTTTACTGTACAACGTATTGATATTGTTCGCATGAAGATCTGCTAATACAATACCCGACACTCGTTGATTTGCTCCTGCGTACAGATTTAGTAATTTCTATCACGCAGTGACCCACAAGGCCCAAACCTGAGTCAGTCCCGGAGAATGTGCTCGTTCTTGGTCCAACACGTATATTTTATATTGATCCAGGCGTAACTAAGCGGCATACCTTAGCTATGGACAGATGCCCCGACAAAGAGCAAAGAAACACACCTCAACTCGAAAGTTAGCTTGTCCATATTCATTTCTTAATAATTTAACGAGCTTCTTCGGATTCATGTATTTGCCCTCAATAACCTGATTGGGGGTTATACTGAAGGAGCGTCCTCGGCTCATCGCACGACAAGGCTGTGAAATTTGCTTTTGCACACTCAACATCAAGAAGAATCAAGAGACCAGACTTATACACGAAAATAAAACGAAGTTTATCATATTCACATTCGCACAATAGGCATGGTTTGGAGGAGTTCAAACAGGTAATATATTTTTTTCTCATCCTTATATACCGTGACAACTCTTTGCTATGAATAGAAGCGAAAACGGTTTGTCTTTCAGCTGCGTACTTCTGAGCACGAGACCCTGGTCAGGCTTCGCTACAACTTTCAATATCATCCTATTGGGTCAGCATTAGTATTACCTCTCACAGATTATGCGTGAATAAGGGATTCGTCTCAAGCCTGATGGAAAGGTGGCGGGTACGGCGCAATGACAGACCTGCGATAATGCTTCCGGTAAGTTCAGGTAACAAATCCCTCGACGAATCTTTTGTCCAAGTTAGCACAGCCCCATCTTATCCAACCTTATGATGCATTAGTTGCCGTAAGCTGCGCTGATGCTGAGGTGTTTCTCCGCGCCTTCTCCGCGCTCCGCAACCAGGCTGCAAGGCTGAATTTGATAGCCCAAACAACCAAAATTGAGGTCAAGAAAAAGAGGGCGAGGCTTTCAATGTGGTCTTCTGGTATCCTTTCATTAAGATGGAAAACCTAAACTTACACTAACTTGATACCCTCCCTGTGGGTATCGCCTCCTCAGCAGTGCCTCCAGGAGATCCTGCTTGACATATCGCATGATAATCGTCTGACTTTCCATAATAAAGAGAGAATAATGTCTTGCCACTCAATCTACCTGAGTGAGCACTCATTCAATCAGAGCTAAACAAAACGCTCAGTAACGATAGTTTAGCCTTGGCAACTCACAATATCTGATGAGCAGAGTCAGCAGTGAAAGACAGCCCAGCAAGGCTTGATGCACTGCAATTAGCTTGTTCTATTTGGTCATCACGGAATCTCTTTCGCCTCATATACCTCATTAGTTGCAAGAGCCTCATTATAGCTTGATGGTACACTGTAGATCTTAGGTAGTATTGTGTATTCATTTTGCGCGGATGCCCAATATACTATGTTTTTGTTGTCTGCACAGGTGCTACATGTCAGTTTCTCTGATAGGGAGGATGGAGAAAAGAAAATATGGGAATAAATTACGCAAGTGCCCTATTCCGACCGGCCATCCTAGTAGACGTGGACTGGTATTGGTTCTGACTGGTGTGTCCGTACAACTAGTATTTAGATACTTCCATGTAGCTAGTCTGTTGACCTGGTCATGGCAGCACCAGCGGCTCAAAGATGGCGGTCTGACTCGTTCATGAAGCCGAAACGGACTTCAGTGCAATGATAAAGTCATGGATGAAGAGACCTTGACTTCGTATCTGCAAATTGACTGCATTTATGTATCACGAGTATAATTCGGGAAAGTGTACCTTCGTGTGGCAATGATTGGCTCTCTTTGTAAAAAGCACCCTGTGCGTCGGCTTGTAAGTGACGTGAAAGCGTCATTTGCGAACTATTATTCCTGCATTCTTCTATTTCCTACTATCACCGAAGGCCCGAAATATATCACATGCACAGCTAGTATTGCGAAATGACGACAAGAAACGATCCCGCTTGTTGTGGGTGGCTTATAAGGCCAACGTGGAAGACTATCACCGAATCCCATCCATACAATTTGGGGCATTTAAAGGTCCAATAAAATGACAAGATTATTCTCTTTCAAGAGCATAAGATTTAGGAACAAGTCGGCTGTGTTTCATGGTTGTTAGACGACCAGTATGGGAGGACTTTATACTTCCATTCCATCGCCATTTCTAAACAATCTATACAGCACATGGATCATGAGATGTATGGATACGTTCAAACTGGGCCAGCATTGAAATAATGCTGTTGAAGAATTCGTTATACGTAGACTACGATGTCTAAGTTCATAATTTGAGTAATGAAATATTCATATTCTTCACCTGTCATACATATTTCACTATCGATACTTCGTTAAACCAGAGCTCCCTGATTAAACTCCTTAGGTTTTTTTTTTTTTTTTTTTTTTTCCGTTGCCATCATCCAGCCATTATCCCACGTAGTAGCTACAATCTCTTACTTAGTTCCAGTATACTCTTCTACTTTATTCATACTTCACTTAGTCTAATGCGACCGTCTAGCTTTCTATACCCTACAGTAGATACCAAAATTAGAGCAAAACCTAGAATCCAGCGGCAATTCTTGTTGAATTCGCATCGTCCAAGCCGAGAAGCATTCATCTTATTGCTATCAAGTTTCGTAAAGAATCCTCCGGAAAGTTTTCGGCGTCGCTTCCATGGTTTTTAATTAATTATCGAATGGCTATACACTACTCCTCCAAGAATGTCACCAGCTCCTAGCATAATGATGACCATGTAGGTGTAGATACAAAGCTCGCTTTCGATGCATCTCAGTCAAACCAACAACCCTTCTCCTGTCTACTTATCGTCGCGATTGTGCTTTGAAGCAAAAGAAATAAAGACATAGAACCTCATCAATACCCATCGATACCATTTCTTCCAAGTAATTCTTTCCTCAGAATCAGCTCTACTATCACCAGCGGTATTGCCGTAGATTAGGGCAAGTTCATGATTACCCTCTCATGATGCTCAATGCCTTCATTATTTATTTTGATGGTGACTTTCTCATGCCATACCATATAATTGCGACCAGACCCCAAACCAACTAATATATAACCCTTATCAAAGATTCCTACTCATGATGGTGTTAGACTATGCACAACCCAGTATATATCATTGTGAACAGGCCCTGTGCCAGATGGAATTTACTTTTCAGTGTCAGCTCAATCAGGACACTCACAAGTCTCCATATGGAACTTCTTGACATAATAACTAATATAGTTCTTATTGTGACCCCTTATACAATCCAAAATCACAGATGAACTATTGATATATGATTAGATTTCATCTTCAACTTAAACCACAAAGACAGCTTCACCCACACCACTGTACAAACAATCAGCATCTCTTCCTACCTACTCTTTACCCCACACACAGAGTATATAGCGATCGCCAATTCAAGACCAAAAAAACGCAGAAAGACATATTTAATGCACCGCATAGCTATGAATCCCCGACAAGGCCCAAAACAGACGCACACCACATCCCACCGCCAATAATACCAGACTGTTACGTCCAAAGAACCTTTGCAACCACATAATAAACACACCATCACAAACAGACATCTGTCTCTACACCTGGTCGCTACGCCGAATCTGGATACCTCAGCTGAACAATACCTATGCCCGAACAGTACCAGTAACATGATATAACGCACTAAACTAAGGCAGGAAATAGATACGCCGAGTCGATGTGGATCAATCTTCAGTGAGAGATACAACGCAGTGTTTATCAACAGCCAGGGGTTCCAAGACTTCCGTATAGAAGGACATCTCGCCGATGGCCGTTGACTAAATGGGAAGTACTATTTTTCTCGCATTGCCGGCCGTTCCCGGAGTTACTTAGTTGTTACTAAGACGGAAGGTTTCGGGATCAGCATCTAATCTCTTATCTTCGGCTTACGCGCTCCGCCTCTTGATGATGGGAGAGTTTAATGAAGGAATGTATCTGTCGCGTTTCTATAGGAATTATGTATGAAAGATACATTCTCATTGAGCTACTTTTACGTTAAGCCATGACCGACCGAGTGTTGCCTGCGAGTGATCAGTAAGTATACTAACTAACTATTGAGTTATTGATTACGGATGGGTGGAGTGGAGCTTTGAGTTGACCCCCCACGGCCGAGAAGGCTCGAAGGGAGGTTAGGGTTTGTACTGTACCCACAAGCGTTCATGAGACGGAGTAACGTGGAAAAGGGCAAAAAGGAGCTTAATTTTGAGCATAAGTTTTATCCAAAGAACCACACAATATTCATTACGCCAACCCGACATATCCCTTGGGCTGCCGGAAGTAAGAATTTTCAGCGCATGTTTCTCAAATAAAGTAGCCTAGTTAGCCATACAGCTTCTACATATCCAAATGTACTAGTCATCATAGCTGTTAGTCTGTAGCAGTGAGCTTAGGGGTCCAGTTGCCTACATGGCTCATTTATCTAAATACAAGCAATGTGAGCTGTCGGACGGTGAGTTGCATTTCCAATCAGATCATTTGGCTTTTAAAACGCACAGGAATTCTTCTACTTCAGAGGATACTTAGGATACTATCTAGATAGAATGACAGGATTGACAATTTATGTGGTATTGAAACGGAAACCCAACACTAACCAAATTTGTGATCCAAACAGAATGTGCCTATACTCGAATACATGAGGCCCAAGAAACGCCGGTGATGATATATAGTACAAAAAATCATGGCGCAATGCTTATTAGGCATGTACAACCAATGGTCAACATCCATGGATAAGTGTCACTGTATAGTTATATATGTCTTTGTAACTCCAATAGAATGACGACTGCAAACCGAAACACCAATCGCGTATGAAGTTCAGATATTAGTAATGGAATATAGCACGCAAACATATCGATGACGAGGTATATCATCTATCTTCTCCTGGGCTTTCTTTATGTGATGAGGAGTTCACTTCGGAGCGAACAAGCTTGCGGATACTGATGTTGGCCATATGGACCATGGCCAGCATATGCCGCAGCCCAGGGACACCTGATGGAAAGACCAAATATAACTCTGAGTCCAGGAACGGGTCGGGGCGGAACTTGTCATGATACGCCTTTTTCCCTCCTATAGGTAATCGCTGGAAGGTGTGACGGTATAACGACCGCGTAATTTTTTCAATGGTCGATGGTAAGCCTGTCACATCGCCCAGGGTCGTAAGAGGTTCGTATCCGAGACTGAGGTAAGATACATTCATTTGGTTGAGAAGTGCCATGGCTGCGTAAGCCAGCAAGTCGCTAATTCCTTTGGGTGCATCGGGAGCCGCAATGCAGGGGTCAATATGATATCCTTGGTTGGCACCAACCCGACGAAGCGCCGCAAATCCGTTAGCGACACCATCGGGGCCCCGGGTATATATATAGATCATCAGATTAGGAAAGTCGAAGGGGTTATAAACGGTAATAAAAGCCTGGGCAGCGGCGGCGGCTTGGTTGCGGTGGTGCCGCCATGATTCATAAATGCTCATTAGCTCGCTCTGTAGAGACGGGTCTGCCCCATATGCTGGGGCATAAGCACCTAAGGTGATACCACCTTTGTCTGGATTGAGTAGTTGCTTGTTTTGGACGATAATTCGCTTGCCACTTCGCTCCATAAGAACATCGTTCGTCATTGGATTGAGCACACGCTCAGCACCAAATTGTAATGTAGCCCAATGTTGTTGTCGCGCATGCTTGACTAGACTGTCACTTGCCCCCATGAAAGCAATTCCCCAGTGGAACTGCTTTCGATATGCCTTAAACTCGTCTAGGATATCGGAAAACAAGTACGGCTCACATAGGGGGTCGCCTGCGACTATTGCTACCTGATTTTGCACCTTATAACACAAAGCCCCGGTTCGGGCCTTGTTGAGGAAGAAATTGTAACTCCGGTCGAGTATTACCATATGTGAGACTTTCCCATAGCGCCCAGCTAATCTCTCTAAAACTTCGGCATTGTCCATGTGATCTCGGTCGGGTAGATTGATCTTTGGTAGGGATGCCGACGTGGACAGTGGGATGAAGCCGGTGCGTCCCAGACACAAGGATGATTCGGAGCTTGAACGACCGTATGTATTCGAGGAGTGACGAGAGGATAGCGCATCTGAGTCTGATGTGGGTTCCACAAGGGTTTGGCTGCTGCTGCTACTCTCACAACAGCTGCTGCCACAGCGGCGGGATCTTGCGTCATGCGTAGGATGCGCAGCTGGTGGAAGTAAGAAAATCTGATCACGTTGGCGATCCGCAGTGACTGCACAACAACTGCATGTATTATCTAGCTTCGAGTGGCTGAATAGTTGACTTGCTAGGGACTCGCCCACAGTACGAGATAGGAGGTCTTTCTTTGGCGGGTTTGACTTCTTTTTAGAGGCCTTCGGTCGTTTGGTCTTTGCGCCGTGGGACATCTGTGGAACAGCTGGGGGAATGTCTTCAACGCTCGATTGAGTAGACATGGTGGGCAATTGGTATAGTAGAATGCGAATTTTTTTTTTGCTTCATTGTCTGGGAGACAGGCAGGCTCCTGTGGTCAGTTCGGATTAAAAGAGCCCTTTAACGGACCCCTAAACGATCCCATGAGGGCAGTGAGTGGATAGAGGCTTCGCCTCCACTCACACCAAACAATAAAAGTCGGATCTGGCAATAGAATGACATCGGGTATTCCGACGAATACTTAGGCAGTAGCATTCGTTGGACCAGGATTGGTCTATGCAGACAAGGGGCCCGGCGCGTAGTCTGCAACTATAGTTGCTTCCTTTTTAAGTTCAATGGCCGGGAGGTGTGACATTTGCTTATGCGGACCCCGCGGGCACCGCCATGGAACGGACTGCGGATCCGTAGGGATTCCATCATCGGATCGTATTTGTGAAACCCTTTACTTGTCTGCCTAATTGAGCCCTACTTAGCCCTACACCGGGTTTATTTCGGGCACACAACATGCCATTTGAACAGGTTTTTACCCTTCAACTTGTTTCTTTGTTTCTTTAGGTCTCTGACGTGTTGACCTTGAAGGTGACTGCAATTGAAGCGCGATGAGGACGTCATTGGAAAGATTGGCTGTATTTGTCTGAACAGAAGCCATCCACAGTTCACTGAGACTCATTCCGAGGTTCCGAGCCGTGAGCGCTAAACGGTATCGAATACGGGTCTCGGGCTCGTACCAACCCTAAAGGACTTGGACCCTTTATTTTGGTAAAAGAACGCGCTGCGGTGACGACACGACAGGCAGCCGTGGAAAATAAGCTTGAACCAAGCCTTTTGTAGTTCCGTGCAGGACTTTAACCAATGGTACACCGCCTTGGCACGGGTAGGGCTGGGTTTCAAAGTGGAGAAAGAACATCTCGAAGATCGACACTGCCACATCCTTGACTCCAAAAGATCAAATATGGTAAAGCATTTCATAATACGAGCCTGATAGGGTGGCTATGCCACAGTGCTGGACCAAGTATATTTGAAACACCCAAATAAGTAATACGAGCCTGAGCTAGTGTCTCGTATTTTCAGATGACTACGATTATGTATCAAAGACCACAAGAGACGGACCCTTGGTCTCAGGAGGAAACGATTTTTCTAGCTTTCTATCTTTCCGAAGGTGTATATAAATACATTTTCTGAGGTAGACATATTCTCTTGAATGGTCCCGTTAAGCATTATAATAGAATCCTTCTAAGCAAATGCCAAGCAAAGCATATGAGTCAAACAATGGAGATTAGCTAACATGTTGCAAAGATTAGACCAGAGCTAAAGGGAAATAAACAACATATGCGAAATATGTCACCAGATCATAGGGATATAGTTCCGCAGCCAGGTTACTCGGTAATGAAAAGATTCACGGCATTAGTTCCTTAGCAGCGGTTGCTATGGAAGGTGGGTGTAGTTACCGTACCCCTTCATTGCCTCGTAATGTTCGAGACCGGTCTATTCTGATTTTAGCTATCTTCCTAGAGAAATAGTAATCACATAATAAAAAAGAGGAGAAAAAAAATAGATAGGCAGAATGGCCCACATCACTTCCCGGTAACGCTGTATACCTACCTCATAGTGAAAGTTGTCCGTCGCTCGTGACCTTATAGGTAAACTACTTGGCGTGTCTTTTTGTCAACGAATGACTATTTGATAATCCAAGTTGGTTTTGACCAGTGACATACTACTAGATGCTCAACCCTCAAATATTTCGTTCTGCATATTGTTCTCATGTGAGGAATCTGTTCCAGAATTTATTACCTACAGAGTACCGGGATATATAAGCAGCCATCGACTTGAAGCCTTAATGCCATAGGTGCGTATGCTTCCCAATACCACTATCAGCGAGAACAAAATAGCTTGACAGTGCCCGTGAAGCTCAAAGCATGCTCAACGTTATCAGGTCCCTGGTTCCAGATCATTGTAATTTGTAACATGGTAACGAACGACCGCCCACGACCCTGAGTCGCGTTGTGGATGCAGCTCATTCGATTTATACACACCTATTAGTCCCCACTCTGCCTGCACGGCAGCCTCACCCGTCTTAGGCACTGACACAAATACTGGTTCCCCGCTTTACTCTGTCTCTTTGTGGCCATACCGACATGGCCCTTTCGTCTTCCAAACCCGGTTCAATCCAAGGATGTCCTGAATATTATTCATTTTTCCGAGTCTCGACGACATTCTGCGGACCTAATTATAGACCGCTTTCTAGCTGAGCCCTATGTAATGAACGAAGGCGACCGCGACTCTTAACTGTTGAGAGGCCGGTATGGTAGTACTAGGCACACACACACATATATATATTTATATGGTTAAGATTCAATTACTAGATAAGGCGCTTCTATAGTTCTCATCACACTGCAGAAGCCTATTTACTTCCGGGTTTGTGGCTTAACCGTTCCTCATTGAAGGTAGCCCGGATGTTGAAAATGGGGTTTCCTACTCAAGTATATAATAAGTGATCAGATATTAATGAGCCTTTTTATTTATCTCACTGCTGTATAGAATACAACTTCAACTACCCTCCATCCCACTACATAACTACTCGGTTTTTATCAAGGGTTCTTCATATGACACCATGATTAGATGGAGAGAAGCATTGTGAGCGGTAGCTCTCATGCTATATGTTGATGAAAATGGCCCTCTAGCTATCTACAGTTTTGGTAATAGAGCCATATATACGACACTACCGATTATTGCTGTCAGATTATTGAAGCCAGATCCTTCCTATGACAGTATGGCGTACACCTAAAATATGGAGAAAGGTTTTCGGGTAGGGTATTATTAATGATATAGCAATCCTTTTCTTTTTGTTCCTTGCCTATATGGCATTTGCAGTAAGAGGCGAATTTGAAAGGCCGACTGTCTGGATGTAGGCGGCAAGCTGAGGCGTGTGCAGGCGTATGAGGCAAGGGGTGATTCGTGTCAAGAGATAAAAGAAAGAGAATTGAAAACTTGCAATGCCTATGGAAATAGCAGCTTGTAAGTCTTTGATTGCGAACTTCTCTTATTGATTGCACTGTGGGGGTGTAGCTCCTTGTTAGAGAGGTGTGATCAGGGCTTGAAAGAGGGTTTGTAGGCAAAGGCTGGAGAGACTAAAGATAAGAAAAGGGAAGGAGCGGGCTTAGTTTTCCTCATCCATATTGAACAAGGTATAACGGGGGCTGTGTGGTGATGTTACAGTATTGATCTTAGCCCTAATTTGGCTACATCCATTGCGGTAAGCATTTGCTAATACAGTTCCTAATATTTGGAACTCCCAAAAAATTATTCAGTATCTGTAGTAAACTAGGGTTTCGTTGTCATCGGTATAATTCATTCTCGTCATTCTGGGGTATTTACTGGTTACCGGTGCTTACAGGTTTGTGACTAGGTATGTTCAACATATCAAGATTATGTTTCGTGAGTATATAATATTAGTATATGGTAATGATTCAATTATGCTGGTTAGTCTGTTCTCATGACTGATGCACCTGGTCTCTTGGTCAATTCCGGACGATAAATGAAAGCGTGGGATAGATATTGATATAGAACATAATGTAATGATATCAGTTCTATCGGGAATTCCTACCGCTCCCCCAAAGCTTTTGAGACCCCAGAAGTCAGTCCCAGAAGTCAGTCACCAAAAGAAAAGAAACCTTGAGAATCAATTGCGATCTGAGTCTCCACCATGACCAGCGTCCTCTGAGTCTCAGTCAATTGACCACTCTCCGCGTGAAATACCCCTCTCCAGTGAAAGATCATATGAAAATGGCGTCCGGCCAACTTTAGCATTTTTAAACAGTTGCGGATGGTGCGCTCCGGGGCCTCAAGCTCCGTGAGTGGAACGGTAGAATCTCACGTTAAGAACACGGTTCTCTCTGCCTAAATCTCTACAGATATGACCTCTGATTTAGCGAGTGACTTATTTTGACCCTCGAAGGTTGGGATTCATGGAAATGCGGAATTTAATTGCCAGCTATGCTAGTTGAAATCACCTCAGGCCAAAGCTATAAGTGAAGCTTAGATTGTCCTTACAACAGAGGCTTTCTTTGTATGTGGATAGTGTGATTAGAGATCAATCATCTATCAGCGCCCCCATCAGCACCATAAACCTCAGTTCATAGGAGTATAACTCCTAACAAGTAAACATCTCTCAGTGGGGACGACAGATACAACCTTACCTGAATCCGTGAAGATGTTCATAGTATAGGGCGAAGTTAGTAATGAGCTAGGGGTAAACGTCCAAGGCTCTTTTTTTGGGGCAGAGAGAATATGGGATTGGCGCCCTACTATACATCTCTGGAGTTAGCCACTGTATCTAGCGAGATAGCTTCAATAACCTAAGTCCTTACTGTGACTACCGCGTGAAAGGATATAGAATGTTGGAAAGATCCTCCCTCACAGATAGTTTTAATACTGTTCTCTATCTTCCCTGTCTTGTTACTTTCATCCAAGAGCTTTGAAAACACATTGGTTTTGAGGCTCAAAGCACCGATCAATCTGTACTCTTGTGCGCACATGGCATCGGGTCGGATGACAAATGAATTTTGTCCTTAGATTCTCTTTTATATGGGTGAGGAGTCGGCCATCTGTGATTTAGGCCATGATTGTACATGGTTGGTTTGTTCATCGTGTAAAGGGGAAAGGGAAGATACCTTCCACTGTCAAGTAAAATGGTCTATAATTCTTAGTGTAGGTTACTTAATCATTGATAGGTGTGCCGCACATGTTTGTTTTATATTCGATGAAGCTCTGTAAATAAAACAGATAGAGGACCATGAGACTTTGACTGCCAGGAGTGAACAATCACCAGTCTCGTACGAATCAATAGTGAAGAATAGATCAAGCCACAGGGGTAATAACAGCTTGCACCTCTACTATTCCAGAAGTTATTAGCATAACATATTCCAAAACATCAGGTGGCGGTTGGTCTAGCCTTAACCCATGGGGTACATTGCATTAACAACAAAAAAGAAAAAGGTGCTAGTTTGTGTTGACGTACAAGGATCTAAGCATCTAGCCTGTGCCTCGAGATCTCGCCCTCCCTTCCATACTTTGTTTTAACAAAAATAGCGCATACTTGATTTGGCAAGTTTGTTCGATTCCTTTGATACATGGCTTGGGACAGGGCATGTCTCGAAAAGAATATTTACCAAACCGGTGGCCAAAGTCTACGCGCTAGTAAAGACTTTGGCGCAGTGGGCCAAGCAAATCATCGTTCTAGAATGGGCATTATAACCGCGTATTATAGACGATGGTACCTTTGGCTGCGATCTAGATGTGGAAGTACATAGTAAGCAATAGTAGGTTTAAGTTTGGCTTGTCATACAAGGATCAACCCTTGGGAACACAGGTGAAGCGGTGAACGAGAGATCTCGCCAATTTTCTATGCTTATCTTTGGATGATTGGATTCTTTCGCAATCCCTCGTTTATTCGAAAGGGTTAACTCCTCGGGCATAAAGAAAGGTGGGCCTGATGATCGTCGCGCCGTCTCAATCTCGAACCGGCGATCTAAATAAACAAGTTTCCAACGGCTGTCAAGGTATACTAATCCACTAATGTACCAGGCTTGAACATGTCTAGAACCGAGATAAGTCGGGACCACGCGAACCCTGGTATCCTTATAGTACTAGATGTATTGAGCCTCCGGTCTCATGTTATTTTCTCATGACTAGAAGATGCACCAAAAGTATTGTGATAATTACCAAAGTGTCAGTTGCATGTTGACTGACGCTTCAGCTCCTTGGGGAGACATTCACATGGATGTGGACTACAGGGAGCCAATCCTTCTGTGCTCCTGCGGAAACGAGTACGACAAGGCGAAGGAGCTGAAATGACGCTCGGGCCGGTGAACTCGGCAAGATTTATTCCCACCGCAATGGCCATAACTGGTATTACTTTGGCTATGCCCAGTGTACTCGATCGCTACAGGTGTTAGCTCGGTGACCGAATTACCCGAAAACGAAGCTGCAAGCCGATGCGTTGGCAGAGACGTGAAAGGGGCATATCCGGCGGATTGGATAACTGTTCAGAAACGCTCACCAAATCCGAGTTGATCCACACAGCCACATCCTATAGCACGGCAGATTTTAGGGTTGTGTTGAGTCAAAGAGAAAGGGATAGTTAGAGCATCGGAGAGGTTTGAGACATCCCTTGCCGGTGTGCCGCACACCTTGTGCGATGAAAATACAATTACCCCCACTGTTTCGCTGTGAGGTTTGTGTGGTCGATCATAATGTATGTTTTATCCAATGTCACAGACATTAGTTCCTGGATAATCGATTGCCTTTTCTTGACTGTTTTTTTTTCTCGTTCTTGTTTGCTTCTCTTTGCCTGAACTTGGCTGGGTAGCTTCCTGCGGCTCACGATGATCCTAGGAACTAGACCGGCAAGACGGGTCTGCGCCTGATGATCATCATCGGCTCCCCCCTATCGAGTCAGATTAATTACGACAGAATACCCAGCAAAAAAAAGAGGGCGACTTTAGCGTATCGATCTTTGCCTTGAACGGTATAGCGCTCTCTGTCTCCCACGACTCTTTCGGTAAGGTTCACGAGGATTTTCCACTGCTCTAGAATCCATGACGATTGGCACGTTAGCTTAACGCTCCCCATCGTGAAGGATAACAAATCTATCGAGCCCACATGAGTTTTGGGACAAGTCAACTATGACCGTACGATGACCTTCAACTGATCGCTCCTCGGTGTGCTCCCGGCGCAGTAGCGCAGCCTAGATTTGTCTGCCTGTGCTAAATCTGACACAAGCACGTTGACTAAGTGGGAGTGGGGGGCAGGGTCCCGATATGATCTTGAGAGCGACCTCGCGAACCGAGTCTCTTTTGTTTGCAGCAGCGGTGCTTAAAGTGAACGACCCCTTGTCCCACGCGCATAACATACAAGTAAGTTGCTTTTTGCTGCACACATTGATTGATTACCAATGTGATGAGATGAGAGCTGTCAGGAACGTCAGATTGATTGGGCGTGGTCGGGGTGTACAGGCTCAGGTTTCCAGGATGTCTTGGATAATATGTGCTGATTTATGAGACTATCAGGGTACTACTCCTTTAGTTATTCTATAGTTGCTTTTGAATGGATGCGACCGTTCTGGATGGTGACACTGAGCAAAGCACGTGAGCGTGGTGGGTACCATCTCACCTAATCAAGATGCATGGTCGACCTACGCGAGGGAAATTGCCAACGACCATTGGACGCGATAAGATCACGTGTGAGACTAGTTACTAGTAGTTGTATTACCCTGTCATATCCTGGTTGTTCTCTTAGGCACAGGATAAAGCAATCCATGGTACGGAGTACGGAGTACTGAATGTACGTATGTACCAAGGATTTCACTCCCGCCTGTTCACCGTGCATTGTAATCATGTCCACTGCGTACGCTTCAGAGAACTCCTGAGCATGGACAACGATGTTGACGGCCAACCCCCCGTCGGGCTGCAAATAAATTGAATGAAAGAGGATCCCCCATTCTTCAATAAAGCTAATACCCCCAATTAGAAGGTGGCCCGGACTAAAAAAACGTGGGAAGAGCAAAGACCCTGGGTCCGGATTTAGATTGTTTCATGTAGAATAGCGTCACGAAAGTCGAACATTGAAGGTAACCTTACTACGAAGAATTTGATACAGGTCGAGTTTTGGTCCTCCGTACTGCTCACACTTAGTCACCATGGCCTGAGCAGTAGATTAATATTGTGTGTGCCCTATCGACATCGTATCTCATGAGAAGCGAGCGTCACCCAATTGACTTCGTCAAGAATGTTTCATATGTCGCATGGAGAAGATCGTTAGTGGCCCGCGGGATGTCAGTCAGATTGCGCGTCCCGACCGACCCACCGAGGTTGTCAGGCAAGACAAATAGAAAGAGAGAGAAGAAAAGAAGACAGGTAAACGAGGAGGAGGACAGAGTAAGGGAAAGGCAAGTATATCAATTCGCTGAATGATCTCATCCGCCCCTTGCGCGCCCATTGACATCATCCACGCCAAAGCACGATGATTGAATCATCAAATAGTCCGGGAGAATGTCCGACAGAGAAGCACAAAAAAAAAAAAAAAAAGCCAAACCTTCCTGTATGATCGATCATTTTAGTCCATCCTCGGGAACAAATGACGGCAAAGATTTCATTGTTTGGGTTGACTGTACGTACTCCGTACTCCGTACATACTGTGTACATATTCATCCACCTCCGTCCTCAGCCACACCAACAGCGCATGAACTCAAATTACTGCACTATGAACTCCTAGTTTCTCTCCCGCCCCAATTATCGGGCGTTGGTCCCTCCCTTCAGTTCTTGCCATACTTAATTTTAGTTTTTTCACTAACAACGGGTCCGCAATCCGAACGGTCAACACCCAGCCGACTGGGGCCGGAAGCTGTTACGCGGATCCTCGAGGCTTTTTTGAAACGGAGTCTGACGGACATCCCAGCTTCCGACAGATCAACTGCGTTAGTGATGCTCAGTATGCGTGTCTGTGTCTGTGTCTATGTCTGTGGCGATTTTAGGAGAAGGTGGGATGGCTGAGCTTTTCTTTTTTTTCTCTTTCTTTTTTTTTTTTTT